GGAGGGATTTAAATCATTTTCTGTGCTCATCCCTCACCTAGAATTATACTGCATCATGCAGTCCCAATCAGTGTCCACTGGCACTAGTTTTTGAAGAAAGAAGGAGAACAGGCCACTCCTATTTATCTGTGTAGCTTTCATCCATTGAGCAAAATCAGATTTCTGTATGCAAAGATGATCCCCCCCCCCTTTCCTTGGATTCTTTATGTTCCTTGATCTGGCTGTGAGAATATGAGGGCACTTCAAAAGCTCATGAAAAAATGGAATTAAACGATAGGTTTCTTGGGGTAGGCACTGTGGTGTAGCAGGTACAGATACTGCCTGCAGTGCTGGTATCCCAGTTCGAGTCCTGGCTGCTCCACTTCCAATCCAGCTCTCGACTATGCCTGGGAAAGTAGTGGAAGATGGCCCCAGTGCTTGGGTTCCTGCACCCACATGGGAGACCCAGAAGAAGCTCCTGGCTCCTGGCTTCAGCCTGGCACAGCCTCTGCCTTTGTGGCCTTTTGGGAAGTGAGTCACTGGATGGAAGATTTTCTCACTCTCTGTGCCTCCCTCTGCCTTTCTATAACTCTGCCTTTCAAATATATAGTAAATAAAACCTTAAAACAAACAAACAAAAAAAAACTTTGAAGAAAAGATAAGTTTCTTCAAATGCAAAAATATTTAAATTCATGCATAGTTTTTTCATAATACATATTTTCAGTGAAGCTTTTGAAGATCCTGTTAATGCATGGATTTCACATATTTTGCACCAAAACCAAACTGATCTGTTAATTCTATTTTCCATATACTTTTTGAAGTGTCCTCCTATATTTTGGATAAGGAAAGCATCCCTTGCCTTGAATCAAAAAATTTCGTGGTCCCTCCCTGGGATGTAAGGCAGCTCTGTTTTCCTCATCTAATTCTCCTTCACTCTGGTGCCTGAGCGGCAAACCCGGCAAACCCGTAGCCCTGTGACAACCTCCCATAATTCAGAAACTTGTCCTCAGGTGGAGACGGCCAGATGTGCAGTTTGCTCAGGAGGAAAGCAGGCTCCTCTACCCTGGAGGAGGACACATCTGCTGCTGTTCATGGAGCCTGGGCAGCTGTGGGCAGCTGCGGCCACTGCCTGCTTTTCGGGACGAGTGTGCTGGGTTCCATTGTGGCCTGATGAGGCTGGGCAGGTGGTGGGCTCTGGGGAGGCCTCACAGAAAGGACACTGTCATTGATTTCCTTCCCAGAGATGTTAATGAGTGGGCAACGGCAGGGCAGGGTGGGGCTGCTGGGGTCAGAGCATCTGTTAATGAGCTGTTCTTTGATTGCCTCCAATGGCCCCAAAGGCTCCTTAGACTGCAAATCAAGGAGAGATTGAGTAGCTTTCTAGGCTGCATCATTCTAGCAGAGAGCATTCTCTGTCTTAGCACTTTTTCTTAATTACCCTGGGAATTCGAGTCCGTGTGGGACGACAGTTTCCCAGTGCAGGGGAAGAGTGCTGGTGTGAAAGGGCTGTGGGTTTTGGATGAATTTCTTAATTTAAAGGGGATTGAGAAAGCAGACTTACGCGCTAAGGTGGATACAGATTGCTTGCGCTGTCTGGGTAATGTAGGTCACCAAGCTCCCCAGTTTCTAGGAGCCGCAAATATCAGGCAGAGCAGGGTCCCCCTAGCTGGAGCAAACACTGGGGACCTTTGAGCTGGGAGGGATCCTTGTCAATGATCTGTGGATTTAAGGAGTGTCTCATCTGCCTGGCAGGGCAGCCCGCCCCTTCCGGCTGCCGCCTGCTTCCCACCCCCTCTGCGGACCCAGTCCTTGCCACCGTCGGGGTGGGGGTGGTGGTGGTGGTGGTGGTCCTGGAAGCCCGGACCCTTTCTGAGGAATGTGGAATGGCTTCAGTAACAGAGAGGCATCCCTTTGATAACCTGGCGTTGGCTGCCCCTGCTGTCTTCGTGCGCGTGTTTACCTGGATCTCTTTCTTCCCACCCTCTCCTGCCTTTAAAAGCCAGTGCTGGCTCGGGCTCCCTGGGTTTGCAGCTTCAGCCCCAGCCCAACTCCAGCCTCCCTGGACTCCCTGGAGCAATGTGCTGTGCGGGCTTCTCTGGCCTGGTAGCAGGTTGGTGATGGAGAGGTACTGGATGCAAGTGTACCTCCAGCAGCAGGGGCCATGGAGGGCATCCCTGTCCCTTCCTGGGAAACCCAAAGACAAAGAAAGCTGCCAAACACCATGGGCCTAGGATTCGGACATCCCCATGGGGAGCTCTGATGCTGATGGCTCCTGCACTCAGCTCCTCTCCCATCACCTACCTCCTACTCCTCTCTGATTGCTCCCCGACCACCACCCCCAGCCCTGACCTTTGGCCAAGCGCCAATGCTGCACCCCTTCTTGGCCAAGTGGACAACCTGGATGTTGGGGGGAAACTTCCATTCTGAGGAGCTTGTCCAGGAACATCATTTACAGCTCCTATCTTCTCCCCAACAGCCCAGACCCTGGGACTGTAGGCAGGGCCAAGCTGCCACCGCCAAGGCACCTCACTTTTACAAGGAGGGAGATAGATGGGCTTGTCACAGTGGCTTCCTCTCCTCAATTCAAGCACCCCAAAGGAAGCTCAGGCTTCCCTGAGACCCTGTGCATTCAGGCCCAGCTTGATCCAGGTCTGGAGCAGGCCTGGCCGCTCCCAAAGCAACTGAGTTCGCAGGTCAGGCCCCTTCCTCCAAGGCAGCGCAGAGACACAGCTGGAAGAAGGACAATTAGCCAGCGGCCGCCTGGGCCATAAAAACGCAGGAAGCGGCCACCATGGGGCGGAGGGAATGGCTGTCCCTAATAAAGCGATTGTTCCTAAGAATGTGTGCATTCCGAAGACGCAGGCTGGAGCCTCAGCCAGGGTTGCCAGAGCTCAGGCCTGGGGGGCTGGGGCGGGGGGTGGGAGGGGGAGATGTTGGCTAGATCAAAAGTTCTTGGTCCCCACCACTTACCTGCCCACATTCCTGTTCCATCAGGACTGCGGACACCCCCACTCCCTTTCTCCTCTCCCTTCGATGGTGTGGATTCCATAATGGGACCTGGGGTTCATTTCTGCTTTTATTTCTAAGGAAACCGAGATGGCACTCGGCTGTTCTTGCCAGGCCCCGGGCGTTGGGGGGGGGGGGGCAGAACACCTAGGATCAGCTGGGGTCTCCTGTCTCCTGAGTGCACAGTCTCTTGAGCTCCTTGGCTCTCGTGAATCCTGAAATTTCTAATTTGAAAACCACCTTCCTTGCAAAATGCCAGGGGTGGGAGGAACCAGAAAGCCGAGTTTCCGCAGCCCTAGGCCACTATGATGGCGCGGTGGCCGGTCTGCACTGGCGGACTGGTGGCTGTCATACGTAAAAAGAAATGGCTCACAGCACCTGGGTTGTGCTCAATCCTGGGAGGCCTGGGGACACTGGGAGATAAAGAGCGCTGGAGAACACTCCCCGAGCTGACAAGTGGAGGCGGCGGTGACACGTATCCAAGGGAAGCGCTGGACAATGAAAACCGACAAGTGCAGGTCTCCAAGAGCGTGACGAGCGCGCGCGTGGTACCGGAGCACGCAACGCCGCCGGTTCCGCTGCGCAACCCACGCCCGGCAGCCGCCGGCCCGGCGTCTGAGGCTGGCGGCGTCGACTGCGCCTGGCAGGACAGGCGGCGAGATTCTACTCCTCCCAAACCAAGACGGACGCCGGCGGAAGCCGACCTCTCCGCCTTGGCGCTCCCGGCCTGGCCCCGAAGCTTGGATCCCGATGGGGGCCACTTCCAGCCCCCTGGGTCCCCTGGGCACAGCTCTCCAATAACCAAGAGGGGTGGTTTCCTCAATCTTTGCCCATTGGAAGGTCTCATTAGCAACAATTCATCATTATTAATGGCCGTCCTATCCTGCCAGAGATGCAAAACAAATTTCTTGGGAGAACGTTTTACTTGGTAAAGGAGAAAATGCTTCAGGACATAGGAATGCTGTGAGACATAGAATACCTGGCCATGCATTCGCAGAAATTCCAGACTCCCCTCTCTGATTTAAAACCAGCTCCCTAAATATAAGACGACACAGAAGTATGGCTCGCTGAATTTTCACAAACGGAACACCATGCAAGGTGCGCGCACCTGGCCCATCCCTGCAATCCCCTCCTGTTCTCCAGTGACTGCCTTCCAGAGTCACCCCTCTGTCATATCTACCCCGTGCTTTTGTAGTTAAAACTGTAAATTCTTGAATGGAGATATGTTGGGAATAAACTGACTTCCTGTAACCCAAACGCCAGGTGTCAGATGAGTTCTGAGTTCGGACTTTATTTATCTTCTGCGGAAGGTGAGCGATTTCCTTGAGCGAGAAAAAGAAAATGTTCGGCTGTGAGGGTGATCTGCTGGCCCGGGCAGCAGGGTGGGAAAGACGGGCCCTTTCCTTAGGTCCACCCCTTGGTTGATCAGAAACGGTGTCATCAAAGCAGTAGCTTCCCTTTCTCTCTTTGGAACAGAGCGAGTTTTCTTGACCGCCCTCTTCCTAGCTAAAGCATAAACAGGACTGCTTCTACCTCGGAGCCCAGATTCCCACAAAGATAGCTCCCCCCCCCAGCCCCGCCCGCCCCGTCTTTTGCAAGTCTCTTGGTTTCATTCTTTGAACCTGTGATTGGAGGTTAAAGGTGCACCAGGTTGGAAGGAGGAAGCTCTTAACAATAAAGGTTTGAATATTTAGCTGTGATCAGGTCGCTACCCTCTCGCGAGCTCGCCCCCCCCCTTTATCTTTTAAAATGCAAATCGTGGTTCTGGGGGTTGTGCGCCGTGTGCGCGCTGCGCCTCGACGTCTCCAGCCATTGGTGTCTGTGTCATTACTAATAGCGTCTTGTAAACACTCGTTAATCACGTAAGGTCTCCGGCCCGGGGCTCCGCACGCCAGCCTGTGGCGGGTCTTCCCCGCCTCTGCCGCCCAGTGGGAAGGCGGTGGGAGGAAAGAAGGAAGAAAGGGAGGGAAGGAGGGAGGAGGCAGGTCAGAGGGAGGGAGGGACCGCCTCAGAGGCAGAGGCGCCGTGAGGAGCCAGCGGAGCACCGCAGGCTGGGGCGCAGCCAACGCTGCTCCCCGCACCCCCTCGCCCCTTCTCCTGCTCGCGCCCCCGGCAGCCTCCAGCGTCTGTCTCCAGGCAGCATGGTGAGGTGTGCTCTCGGGCCCTCGCCACCATGTACGTGAGCTACCTCCTGGACAAGGACGTGAGCATGTACCCCAGCTCCGTGCGCCACTCGGGCAGCCTCAACCTGGCGCCGCAGAACTTCGTCAGCCCCCCGCAGTACCCGGACTACGGCGGCTACCACGTGGCGGCCGCGGCTGCAGCCGCGGCGAACTTGGACAGCGCGCAGTCCCCGGGGCCGTCCTGGCCGACCGCGTACGGCGCCCCGCTCCGCGAGGACTGGAACGGCTATGCGCCGGGGGGTGCCGCGGCCGCCGCCAACGCCGTCGCGCACGGCCTCAACGGGGGCTCGCCGGCCGCCGCCATGGGCTACAGCAGCCCCGCCGACTACCACCCGCATCACCACCCGCACCACCACCCGCACCACCCGGCCGCCGCGCCTTCCTGCGCCTCCGGGTTGCTGCAAACGCTCAACCCTGGCCCGCCCGGGCCCCCAGCTACCGCTGCCGCCGAGCAGCTGTCCCCCGGCGGGCAGCGGCGGAACCTGTGCGAGTGGATGCGGAAGCCGGCGCAGCCGTCCCTTGGAAGCCAAGGTAAGCAGCAGCAGCGCCCCACGGGAGGGCCTTGGGAAGCTAGGGCTTGGCTGCCGTGCGTCCGGGGCGCGCACAGGGACATCCGGGACTGTCTGGAAGCCCCACGCCAGGACGGGCGAGGCGGGGTAGGGACCCAATTCAGGGGGCTCTCGCCCCGCGGGACTGGACTGGCTATTGCGCCCGGCAGTGAATATTTTGGGTCTCACACACCGTGTTCAGTTTAGGGCAGAGGAAAGCCCCCTCCCCCCATTTTCCAATGGTTTCTCCTTCCCAACTTGAGGACACCGTCGGGAGGCGCCCAGGGAATGTCGGCCCGCTTATGGTTGGACCCAGGCAGCATCGTTTCCTCCACGCCGGCTGCCGGCTGCACTCCGTGCGCAGCTCCCCGGTCGCCAAGGATAGGAGCCTCGGACGCCCCCCGCCCCCGACCACGTCCAGACCGTTTCTTCCCGCGCGCTCTCCTGTCCCATCTGGGCCATCCAAACAGTGGTGGCCAGCGAGGCTGAGCCTGGGCCCGGGTTCAGGCATTCGGGTCAATTCAAGGGATCGGAGCACAACCATCCAAGAGACCGCGGGAAGAAAGCTGCAGTCACTGGAAGGAAGGTGCCAGTCCCGGGGCCGAGGGGAAGGAGGCGCGCCCCTGTCTCTGAACCTTTGATCTGGGAAGGGGTCATTTCGGCGACAGCTGGAAGGAGGGCCAGGGACTAGAAGCCGCGGGAGTCCTGGGGCGGCTCCAGACAGGGGTAGTCTCCTGGACCTTCCTTTCGCGGGACTGGAGATGGGGCGTGCATGCAGTTCGGGTCTAGCGGGGACCCCGGGCTTGCGGGGCTGCTCCTTTGGGTACTGGGTTGTGTGTCTAGGGTAGGTGGGTGGGGGAGCAAGCGCGCGTCGGTGTAGTGGGGGCGAATCCTGTTGGTCACCCTCTTTCACACAAGTCTTGGCCCGGCCGCTGCCCTTCCTCTTCGCTCACTGCCCGCCTGCTGGCCCAGCTGGGCCGACGTGCAGGTTATGGCCACTGCGCAGAGGTTTATAGCCAATTACAGCCGTATAAATCAGCGCGCGCGTTGGGGGCTGTCTCCGGCCTCGGCTTCCGCGTAGCTGCGCGCATACTGGGGAGTGTCCCGCCGGCGACTGCGGCCTCCCGTGGGCCCCGGAGCCGCGGCGCGGTCCCTTCCCTGAGAGGAGGCGCTCCCGTCCTAGCGGGGCGCGCACCCAGACTCCAGCTTCCCAAGGCCCCCTTGCGCCTGGTGGGGCCTGCGGGGCTGAAGGGGGGGGAGGAGGGAAGCGGGGAGGCGCGCCGCAGCCACCGGGGCCGCGGGGTCAGCAGAGAGGCGGCTGTGAAGTCCCGCGCCGAGGTGGCGAGTCCGCGGTCGGCGCGGGGCCCTTGTGATGTTAATGTGGGGAGGCCGCGGCCCGCGGCCCGGAGCCCGGCTCCTCTGCGCAGCGTCATCTGTCAAGGGGCGGAGCGGGGGTCCGCGGCCCGGCCGGCTTTGATATACACCTTCCCAGCCCTGCCATTGTCTCTTTTAGGGCCCGGAAAGAGGGTGGTGACTTTCGCAGTCAATAATGAATTCTGACATGTCCCTCTCATCCCACCTCCCATTCAGCGCCCTCCTTGGTTCCCAGGGGGTGAGGGGCGCCTCCAGGGGACAGGAGAGCGCGCGGGCCGCTGAGCGCACCGGGTCCCCGCCGCCGCCGCCTCCCCCGCGCCTGCCCCGTACGCTGAAAAAGCAGCACCCGAGCGAAAGGCGGCTCCGAGGCACCCGAAGTCCAGCGTCGCTCCCGGGGGTTGGGCTGCGCCCACTCCCCGTCCCTGGAGGTGTCTCTTTGGGCTCCAGCACCACCCTGCCCTATGCTAGATGCGTGGCCTGGTCCGAGCCTCCGTTTCCCAGGCCGCGAAGAGGAGCGAGTGGGTTTCGACGTTGTCGCGGGTGAACGCGGCCCCCGGCACAAGACTCCCGGGACGCCCGTGGCTCGCACGGTAGTTGCCGGCGCTGGGTCGCGGCCGCGGAGCGCATTCAAATGCGCCCGCCGGGCCGTGTTTATGTTAATGCGCCTGGCGGGGAGGGGGATGAAAGCGGGGCCCGCCATTTGCTCAGTAGTGGTAATTCAAACAGAATGCGGTTGTTATTAAGGCATTGAAAGGGCTTTTCTTTGATAAGATCGCCTTGTCCTGCATTGTTTGCGGCTGTGTTCCCCTTTCAGCGGCTCGGGGGAGCTCCCTCTGATCCGCCAGTATCTTCCCAGGGCGCTTTTGTTGTGGTTTGCAAAGGGTTTTACCTGAACAAAGTCGGCCCGCGGGGCATTAAACACCTCCAGGCGGCTCCCAGCCCCTTCAGATCTTCCTGTGGGACTGGGCACTGGGCGATTGAACCTGTTCAGCTTCAAGAAGCCCCCGACCTGGGGCTGCCCCTCCGCCAAGGGCTGACCTGGGACAGACCTCGGTGGAGTCGCCGGGCTGGGGCCTGCTGTTCCAACAACGAGGATACTATTTGTCAAGGCCCTTCAGTAAAACAATCAATCCAAGCTTTAATATGTTGACTCAATCCAATGAGCCTAGATCACTGGTCAGGATAGCTCCAGCGGGGTTTGCGGCAGGAATAAATGGAGGATTAAAAAAGAAAAAGTGTCAGATCGTAAACCTGGCTAGAGCAGGTATAAAGAATCCCCAACAGGTGGGGACTTCCAGCCCTCAGCTCCGAATTTCACCCCATGGGCCTGCTGTGCCTGGGCGATGGTTCAGCGGCTGACCTATCAGCACCTGCGCCCTGCTTTCCACAAACACAAGAGTACACCCTCGCTTTGTGCCCCTGGAGGGATAGCCATGAGCCCAGAGCTTTGGGGGGGCCAGCTGTCACCTCTGGGAGGCCTGGAGCTCTGACCACTCCCCCTCCTGCCCCTCTCCCTTGGTGCTAAACATATTTCAGTGCTGACTGGTTTACCAAAGAGGTGGCTGAGTTGTGCCGGCTTCTATGTATGAGGTTTTGGTTTCTCTTCGATTTTAAAAACCACTTAACCTCAAGGTCAGTTTATTGGCCCTCACTAGCCTCACACCCTCCCCCCAACCAGGACCCTTTGGGGGGTCTTGTCAGACTTGGCAGGAACCGGCCAAACCCAGGCCCCCCAGGGCGGTGGAGGAAGAGAAACGGCCTCTGGGTTAGGGAGGTTTGTCATTACCCATGACTGATGGGCTGCCTTGTAGTTCTCAGCTCTAACTTCTCCTTCCTCCTCCACAGTGAAAACCAGGACGAAAGACAAATACCGCGTGGTGTACACAGACCACCAGCGGCTGGAGCTGGAGAAGGAGTTTCACTACAGCCGCTACATCACCATCCGCAGGAAAGCCGAGCTGGCGGCCACGCTGGGGCTCTCTGAGAGACAGGTGGGGACCGCCCTGCTCCCCGGGCAAGGCCTGCTGGGGACGGTCACAAAGCCTGACCCCAGCCCGCAGCTGACTGCAAGAGAACTTGCCAGTGGAGCATTTTCCAAATGTCCCTATCTCCGGTTGCCTTTTTTTGATGTTATGGAAACTTTATTTATTTAGTGTTTTAGAAAGTACGAGAGAAAGCCCAGAGCGTTATTGGCATTCTATTCAGGTAGGGTATTTTGTTGTTGTTGTTATTTCTGGAAAAATGAGTAGGAAATATAGCAAAAATAGGAGGAAAATAAAACATAAAAATCTCTGCCCCTGCTCACAGAAAGGGGGGGGGGGCTAGCTGGCAGCCAGGAAGCTCCACCTTAAATGTCGCTCTCAGCTCCAAGGTGAGGAATATCATACTTCTGGTTAGACTGGAAGAGCCAAACGTTGTCATCAGAGGGCCACGAAGCGCTGTGTCTGCTTGCTTGGGTCCACAGGGCAGGGCAGTTTCTGTTTTCCTTGGTTCTGAGGTTCCGGTAAAGACGCAGATAAAGGTTATTCTAGAAAGAATCGTGTAGAGCAAGGAAGAGTTACGCCTGGGGCGGCTCTGGTGGCCAGCTGTTACGGGGTATCCCTGGGAAGCTTCTAGAAGGGCAAGGAGCCCTTAGCTGGCACCAGCGGCTGCCTCCTGGTCCTCTTTCTCCTCACACCTTCTCCACCTGTCCGTTTCTAGGTGAAAATCTGGTTTCAGAACCGCAGAGCCAAGGAAAGGAAAATCAACAAGAAGAAGTTGCAGCAACAGCAGCAGCAGCAGCAGCAGCCGCCGCCGCCGCCGCCCCCACAGCAGCCGCCCCCGCCTCAGCCAGGTCCTCTGCGGAGCGTCCCGGAGCCCCTGAGCCCCGTGCCTTCCCTGCAAGGCTCCGTGCCTGGCTCGGTGCCCGGGGTCCTGGGGCCGGCCGCGGGCGTGTTGAACCCCACTGTCACCCAGTGAGCGGCAGAGCAGTTCCAGGCTGAGCCGTGAGGGGCGTGGACTCTGCTGGAATCCTGAGATGAGACCCCCTTCCCCGGCACCCACAATCCGCACAGCTGCAAACCTGGCCCTCGGAGGGAAAGCGAAGGGCCGAGAGGAAAGACGGTGGTGGGCCTGGGGGACTCGAGGAAGCCGCCTTTTAGATTTTCACGTGTCCAGTCTGGCTCTGACCCCGTGAGGAGACAGGAAATGACCGCTGGAGCTTCTTCCGGTACTGGCAGAAGCATTGGCTGGACTGTCTACACCGACCAGGCTCTGGGACCCCTCTTCCCTAGTTCCTCGCCCCCCAAGATCTGCAGGCTGCGTCTCCGGTGGGAGCTGAGGCGGCGAGAGCCAGCGAGCGAGCTAGCGAGAGAGCGAGCGCGCCAGCTCGGCATCGCAGCCCTGGGAGCCGAGATGTCTGTCGCCTGCTCTCGGCTGGCCGAGGGAGGACCACCTGGCCCTCCTGCCTCGAGGGCAGGCAAGATTGACACTGCAGGAGCCAGAGGCGGCTGAGATAGGACGCTGGCCGGGCCAAGGACTGCAGAACCCGCGAGGCGGCCTGTCCTGGCTGGCGTGCGGTGCGAGGGGGTGGTCGTGGGACTCCAAGGCGCGCTCCCGCCGGGCCTTGTTTAGAAAGCCTGTCACCAGAGCTTTCTCCGGGCTGAATGTATGTCAGTGCCATAAATGCCAGAGCCAGCCTGGACTTCCTGTCATTTCCACAATCTCGCGGCTGAGGAAGCCAGGGCAGTTGCTGCGGCCGCCGCCACCGCTGCTGTTCGGGGCGTGAGTCTACGAATCGTCCCAGCCAGTGTTCCAAGGGCCTCTGGATCCATGGGGGGAGAGAAGTGGTGAAGGAAGTTGGGGGGGGGGGGCGGTGAATCTGAACAACACGGTCGAATGTTTTCTAAAAAGAGATAAAGGAGCTCTCCAGATTGTAGATTCTGTAGTCACCGTCTTCAGATTTTGCCTGGAATTATGATTTTTTTTTTTTAAAAGGAATGACATAGCTTCTCCGCTTGCAAAGATATAATTAGAAACCTCAGGGAGGGAGGTGGCGAAGGTTATCTGGACAGCCGTGTAACCCACCCCCTCACCCCCACCCCCCGTCAGAAGCCCGAGGGAGCAAGAGACCTGCCCTACCCCCAAGCCTGGGCCCAGCCTCGGACTGTGGAATGCGTGGTTCTCCTGGGGGTGCCTTTGGCAAAATGCACATCTGAATGGTCAGCTGCTCACCAGCTGCTGCGGACTGGGGCGGGAGTTGGGGGCGAGAGGGCCGCCTCGAGGCGTCTCATCCAGCAGTTCCAGTCCCCCAGTGACCCCTCACCCCGAAGGATGCTCAGATATAAGATTGAATACAAACAATTTCTTCTGCTTTCCCGAGGTAACATCCCCCACGAATCGCTGCGCATTGCTAGAGCGGCCCTTCGCCCTCCACACTCCTTTCTGCCTCTCTCCCGCGCCCCGCAGAGGAGGGTCCAAGAGATGGCCCAGAAGTGGGCAGTGCCGGGTCTCATCGTCTGACCGGGCCGCCCTCCTCCAAGCTTTGCCCTCCATCTTAGGGTCCTCCCAAGCCCACATCAGCGCCTCCACGAGGGGCAGAGGTGGCTCCAGGGCTGCCGGGGAGGACGAACGGAGCGGGGAGACAGCAGGAGGCGCTCAAGTCTCCCCGAGTCCACGGCCCTTCCGGGTGGCGGATTCTGCCCCAGGATTGAGAAAGGGGCCCTTGGAGGCCGGGGCCGCGGACGCCTTGGCCTGAGAGCAGAGGGAGGGGCCCGGGGCTGCCACGCGGGGGAAGCCGTGTTGGCGTCCACTGGGCGAGAGGTTCCGCCTCGGGTCTGGGGCAATCCCAGCTGTCCCCCCACCCCCAGGGCTGCGGGCGCGGGCCCCGCGCCCTGGCCGCGCCCACATGCCCGCCCCCTGGCCGCTGGCGCGGTTGCTATGCGTTGCCGTGAAACGCCTGTCAATAAACCCTGTTTGGACAGTGGAGCAAGAGCACAAGGGTTGTTTGCTTAGTGGTTAGAGGTTCAAAAGTCGGCATTGTCCCGCTGCAAGCGATTACAAGTCCTTCCCCTTCCCGGGGCTCGGCCCCCTTGCGCGAGGGTCGGGGGGCCAAGGAGGGGCGCTCGGCCTCTCTGAAATGCAAGTCCCCGGCTTGCGGCTGCGGGCGCCTGCCCAGCCGCCCGGGTCACGGCCCAGGCGCAGAAATCAGGGCCCACCCTGGCGAACTGGGTCACTGAGCCTCGACGCCGAGACAACCGTGGCACCTTCGGAGCGAGACGGAGGCGACACGGGACCTGGAGGGAGCGGTTTGACCTGCTCGTGGGCGCCAGAAATTACTGAGGACCCGGTGGCTTGGAGGCTCCGAGGTGCGGATGGGCGCCCCCGGGGTCGCACTGCGCTCAGGGCGCGCCGCCATCGGCTTCGGCCGCCAGGGGTCGCGCGCGCTCTGAGACGAACTGGAGCCTGGGCGCGCGCTCCGGGAAAGGCCCCAGTGCTAGACCGGCTGCAAGGTACAAGCTCCGGCGCCTGTCCCCATCCCGCTGTTCCCAAACTAGGGCACCGCGAGATTTCCCTGCGTCGGCCTTGGTCTAGTTGAAACCAAGCTCAAACTAATTCAGGTACTGGAGATTCTCGGATCTGGTGACAGACAAAGCCAACCTAGGGGACAGTCTATCGTTCTTAAAAGGGTCTTTTTGTTCAAGGCCTTGTCTTTTCTTTCTTTTTTTTTTAAAAGATTTATTTTATTTATTTAAAAGAGTTACAGAGAGAGGTAGAGACACACACAGAGAGAGAGGTCTTCCATCTGCTGATTCACTCCCCAGATGGCCGCAACGGCTGGAGCTGTGCTGATCCGAAGCCAGGAGCCAGGAGCTATTTCTGGGTCTCCCACGTGGGTGCAGGGGCCCAAGCACTTGGGCCATCTTCCACTGTTTTCCCAGGCTATAGCAGAGAGCTGGATCAGAAGAGGAGCAGCTGGGACTTGAACCGGTGCCCATATGGGATGCTGGTGCTTCAGGCCAGGGCTTTAACCCACTGAGCCATAGCGCCAGCCCTCTTTCTTTTTTTTTAATATAACGATATGGGCAGGACATTAATATATGGTAACACTAAATTTAGGATCAATACGGAAATAAAATGGATCAGTATTGTGGAATTCATGTCAAAAAAGGCATAGATGGAGGGAAAACAGTCTGAGCCCCCCCCCCCCCCCAACAACAACTCTTACAGTATTCATCCAATGAAGCTGACAAGATGGCCTGTTAAGGAAAGTAATGGAAAGTTCCAACAGCTTTCGCTTTTTCTAGTGGTATCTTGTAAGATGCGGATATTAACTAAGAGAAGGATCTTCTATAGCAGTCTATATAGCAGCAAAGATATTAGTGCTGTGGTTATCGGAACCATTCAAGAGAAAGTGTAGCAAGCTGAAAGGAAGGCAAAGGTTATAGATTTGGGTCTTGTTTTAGAAACAGGCTGCTATCTATCAGCTCAGCTGACCTAGGGGACATCACAGCCCGGGAGCCAAGCTTCCTCCTCTGTGGCATGGGGATCAGATGGGATAATGGTAGTGAACGCATCTTTACAGCCCACTGCTGTAGACTTCAGCCATGACATGAACTGCTTTTTATCAGGAACCATCTTCTGCAAAGCCCTCCAGGGGCCTGACAAAGAACCTTTGACAGGGTGATTTCCCCATCATGAAATGATAATTCCTTCCCAGAATTTTTTTTTTTCTATTGTATTCAGCTTTGCTTACTTTGTCCAAATAGCTTCAAGTCTGGGGTCTCTTGATTTCTACCATAGCCAGTTGGAGGTGTACTCAGGAGGATCAGGATTAGTTGAGAGCGTTCTTAGCCATTGTCTTCTAGTGTGTAGGTACATTTTTAGCGCAAAAGGAACAGGGAAATAAATACTCTTAACTAAGTGGCATTAAAAGTTTATTTGAAACAATTTACCTTCCAGAATCCTGATATTCTGCACTCTTCCCAAGAGGCTGCTGTGGTTTTGATTCCTTTAAGTCTGATTCACCCCAAGAAGTCACTTTAAGGCATACATTTGACTCTAGTTCTTACGATTGAAACTGTAGAACAGATCATGTGTTGAATTGATTTTGCTTTGGAGGACAAGCAAGCATAGCAACATTATGTAGATCAACTTGAAAATATTTAAAACCAGTATTTGAATTATACCTGGATTATACATATTTCCAACACCTCTCTCCCACAACTCTTTTTTTCTTTTTATAGATTTATTTATTTTATTTGAAAGTCAGAGTTACACACACAGAGAGAGAAGGACAGGCAGAGAGAGAAGTCTTCCATCCACTGGTTCACTTCCCAATTGGCCACTGTGCTGATCCAAAGCCAGAAGCCAGGAGCCAGGAGCTTCTTCCAGGTCTCCCACAACTCTTACATTCAGTCATTTTCCTGTTTATATTTTTTTGCCTCCTGCTTCTGCTATAATTTTAGGAGACCAACCAGATTTTAGTGGTACCTGTGGGATCAGCTGCATGATTCAGGCCCAAAGCAATCACTTCTTTCCTTAGCCACAAACCAGAGGGAACACATTATGCTTCTTATATTATGACTTTTCTGGAAGCCTATAAAATTGTAAGTAGGAAAAAAACCCCTCACATTCCAAATAAACCCAAATCTTCCAGTTCCAGAGATTGTACCAACATTTACCTTGACGCTCTCGGAGGGCAGGGGCAAGTACCTAGGTGACCTTTGGCTCCCATGTCCTGGAACCCAAACATGACATTTGTTTTAACAACAGCTTTTCCAAATTGGAATCTGTCATTAACCGCAGTAGATGCTGATATTATCAACAGAATTGTCAAGCCCCAAGTTGAATGACCAGCTTGTTCTTCTTTCTGCAGGATTCCGGTAATTCTGCGCTAGAGATCTGGCTCATAAATCAGTTGTGATCTATGAAGAAGGCTTCCCTGAGATGAAACAGTTACCGACTCATTCTTTCTCATGCACACATTTATTCAGAAAGTCATAATGCAGGTCATGTACCATGTCCATGTGTCCAGTATTTAAGAGGAAGTGGGAGTCCGGGGTATTTCATACATTTTAACATTTGAGTTTTAACTCCCAGGGAAGAGATTCTTTTCTAATTGTTCAGGTTATCTTGAAACTTCAGGATTGATAGTCTGCTCTCATCACACTTGTTATCTGCAGTATGCCAATAATAGGTTTTATACAAGTGGTAGCTGATAAATTCCTCCTCAACCTCAATAAAGCAAACAATGAAAAACAATGTAGCAGCTAAAGTTATTGTAGTACAAACACACAAAGCTTGTTGTGTGCCACTTACATAATTTTAGTTTATTGATGATTAATAGAATTAGCAACAAGGATTAAGTACTGAAACCACAAAGCCGAAATTGTTAAAAAAAAAAAAAAAGACCTGGGCAGATTCTGTTTTTCTATTTGTGAGAGATGCTACTATTGTTCTTTCGCTTTGGGCATCTACAGTTTTTAAAACAGCAATCATAACAGAATTCAGCAGGATTATATTCTATTTTCAGTACTCATTCCATCTTCCCTCCACTTTTCCGGAGAGAATTATGTTAGGGTATATGTGAATTGGCAGACACAGCGGAGAGACAAAAGACCAGTGTCCAATAAACAGCAGCTTGAGAACATGCAGGAATAACAGGCAGATTAACTGAAGCCCACACAGAAAAGACAAAACCTTTTTTTTTTTTCCTCAAGCCAATTCACTAAAAATAACACACATGTAAGACAGGTCTTTGGAACAGCATTTAGGACACCTGCATCCCCTGGGAGAGTGCCTGGGTCTCAGCTCTGGCTCCACTTCTGAGTTCTTCTTGCAGATGTACACCCTGGGAGGAGCAG